GACAAAGAAACCTGGTCATTGCTGTGACATGTAACACTTTAACATGGTGGGTAACTAGAATTATAACTGACATTTTACCAGGACATATCAGATTTTCATGTATTTCACATAATGTTTAGGATATCTACAGTAGAAGCATCAACTGTACAATATAACCTGAGAAGATTCATCATTCCTCCAACAGTACTTCCCATATAATTTAACATGTCAAATGAACCCAAGTAATTTAATATCTCTTTTTGGAACATCTCAGGGGCCCTCTGAAGCATCCCAAAGTTAGCTAAAAGTCAAATCATTTGGGAAGTTTTGTCAATAAATATCAAAAGGGTTTGTAACAGTCAGATAGGATCATATTGGTCACTGTGAAACAATAGTTATTCACTTAGACAAAGTAGCAAAAAGGATTTCAAAGGAACAGATAGAACAGATCAATTAAGAGGTAAAGAAACTTAAATCTTATTATTAGAAGCAGTTCAACATCTGAAGAAAGTATGTCCTCTTAACAGAGAGAAAGGCCAAATTTAAGTTTTTGCACCAGCATTTAACTTCATTTAAAAGCAAATTTACTTAAATTTATTTTAAACTTAGTCCTAACCATGCACAAAACTTTTCTCAGGGCCCACTTTCCACAGAACTTCTTATCACTTTCTGTACCCATTACTTTGTTCTCGCATCCTGAACAACCACCTGTAAGTCAGACTTACTTCCTTTTCCCTTCATTAAATGCAATTTCATTCCTCATACCTTCTTTATTAAAAACATACATCCTACTTTTCTTAAGCAACCAAGAACTGACCTTTATATTAGCATTCTGTAGATTGGTGAGCGTAAATATCAGTGATAATTTCTAAAAAAACCTTTGCTTTCTTATAGAAGACATCTCAGAGTAGCACCAAACATATTTATGAATAGTCCCAAATCTCTTTAGTTTCTCTGTAAAAGGAAGTTAGTGTTCAGTAATGAATATTTTACAATCTTATTTTATTTGGAAATGATCTAGGTATTCAATAAACTTCTGTCACTTAGTTTAGCACAACTGTAGAAATTCAGGTTACCAAGATCTGGAGAGACTATTTTAGACATACATTTCTAAAGTATATTTATTCCTAATGGAGTTTATCTAAAAGCTCCTATCATTTGCATATTATTTTTTAGAAGTTTCTTCACTCAAGATACTTTCCTTGTTGACAAACATGTAACAGATATAAAATACAACAGTATTTAACTTATGTTAAACCCAAGCACAATGAAAATATTATGCTTAATGTTAATGACTTGACATGTCTATATTAGCAAGCAAACATTAATACTAGATACTTAATATTGAATATTTCCCATTTCACATGAACGTCAGATTCATTCAGTTAAATTTCTCTTGTATTTAGAATTGTTTGATTTGTAAGCAATTACTTTTCTTTAGGCCAGTTAAATTAGAGCTCATTTACATCTTAACTTCAGTATTATCAAAAAATAAAGATACACACTGAGAAATACATAAATCCAGAGGGACAGATAGAGACCTCATAGTTTTCCAGTTAACATTTAAAATGTCTCTTTGATGCTTTTTTTTTCTTGGCTTGAAGTTCTAATTTGACCAAGGCTGAGGTTTCAGGCAAAGTGGACTGTGTATCAAGGACATGGCAAGGGTTAAAATCAAGCTTTTCCCTAGGCAGGCCTTTTTAACAAGCTAGTTGTTTTTAATTGCATATGCAAAAAGAACTGTTTTTGCAGGTTTCCAAGAAAAAAAATTTCACTTTAACCAGTTTTCTCCAGAGTCTAAACAATATATGGCCATCCTGTGTCAAAAAGTCATCTTTCCTTTCTCTAGTGATAGTTTTATAGCTAAAATATAGACCAAATAGTGGTCAAATTGACTCTCATGCCAGGGGCAGATCAGCTGATAAAATTCTTGGATTGCCTGTCTGGGAGAAGTGGGGTCTTGTTTGATCAGAAGAATCTGAAGGAGGAAGGGAATTTGCAAGGGTAGGAAAGGAAGCTTGGTCCCTCCCCACCCTGAAAGACAGGAGTAGTTAGAAGGGAATTCTCTAGAATGTTCAGGAGAGTTTTTGATCCCTCAGGCTTTTGAATATAGGCGAAAGACCTGGACCAAAGGGAACCTCAGAATCCTTTCCTAGTCTCCAACAATAGATACCAAATGTAGATAGGAAAGGTTGAGTAGGGGTCGTCTAGGAAATCTGATGGAGAAGGGGGCAGAGGGGAATGGGATAGGAAAGCAACAGAAAGACAGATGCAGCGTAAGCCCCTCAAATCCAGATTCTGACTAAGGTCCATGAAGGACTGAACATAAGGAAAGTCTTGAGTCCTTTCCCTGATTTTGGCAAAAGAGATCAAGTTGAAGGATCATGCTACAATCCATTCAGAGGACATTTTTTTTTTTGGTCCTCCCAGTTTGTATTGGGTCCAGGCCTTTTGCAGGGTCAAATTTTTCCAGTTCCAGAGAATGTAGCCAAGGGGTGAGTCTGAGACAGAGGCTCCCAGGATGTACCAGAACCCACTGTTAGCCTACATGCCATAGAATGGGGGTAGTGAGGGTCACCAGCTAACAGAAAGGCATCCCTTTTGCTCCAGTGATCTCTCCATGTGACTGATGGCACAAAATGACTGACCGTCCCAACAGGTGCATCTGACAGTGAGAGGTAACCCCTGAGAACTGTTCAACTAAGGTACCATGTGATCTTGGCAGAGAAAGATTCTCGGGAGCGACCGGGAATTTGGCATTCACCATTTGGCATTTCCCTGAAATGTGGAGGGCACTCTTGGAATGGCTCAGAGGCAACACCTAGGCTCCTGTAAATCAGTCCGGACTAAAAAGGAAAGAAGTGAAAGTGACAAGGAAGATAGGCTGAGGAATCCACCTTCTGATCTTGCTGGGGAGGCGGTGGCCAGGGGGCGATGGGCTGTGTTTTGATTCAACCACTATGTGCCTGACATGAAGCATGGAAGTTGTCTTGCTAGGGGGTAGATGCCCTTGTGGTGTGATTCATTCCATGGCTCCCTTATCCTCACACGGGTGTCTTCATGTGGCAGGCTCCATAGTGGCTTTTAAGTGCCTGGCCTATGCCCACACAATATTGGTTGGCCTAATCCTCAGAAAGGAGTCAGAAAGGAGAGACCTTCACCCATCCGGGCGGCAGCTACTGGGATGCCATGAGCAGTGGGGCCTTTGGAATACACCAGTGGGTAACCCTTTCCAGACGACCTCAGTTGCCTCCACAGCCACTTGCCCTGTTTGCAGAGATCCCTATGAGAAATGAGAGGCCAGGAGGTGGGGGAAGAGACCCTAAGTCTCCACACAGGGAACCAAAAATGTCGTGGTCTGTGCACAGGTTGGAAAAGAATTTCCAGACACGAGTAAGAATGAGAGGAGAATAAAATTAGAGTGGGAGAGGCCATTAGAACAGTGGGCTGGCTCAAGGGAGAGCCGAACACTTTTGCAGGCTTGTAGCCAATTTTTATAGCCTCAAGACAGAAAACTCCTACTGGAATGGTGGCATTAGGTGATTGGTTAGGATGCTATAGAGTGGGTATTTTACAGAAACGGGGTCAGGGTGCTGGCTGGTTTAGATACAGAGGCTCATGGCAACAGTGACTGTGGGGCTTCATCAGTTCCAGAAATTTCTATCCTGTGACCTTGGTACAGGGCTCCATACCTATGACCTCAGTTTAGGGCTCCACAGTAAGCATTCAAGAGCATTGGCTGCTGTTTTTACCAGGTATAGATAAGCAAAAAGACTATTACAATTCAGAGTGAAAATGTGATAGAAGAGTATTGTGATGGTAGAAGAGTAGATGAGGTTCTGTAGAAACTGAACCTGGGAAAATCAGTTCCATTTGTGGTGAGACCTTGGTGTTAAATTGCTCTGCAGGGTGCTAGGAGCCTTCCAGACAGAAGGGAAAGTGCATGTAAAGGCAAATAGATGGGGAAACAATGGAAATAGTGACAGACTTTATTTGCTTGGGCTCCAGAATCACTGCAAATGGTGACTGCAGCCATGAAATTAAAAGACGCTTGCTCCTTGGAAGAAAAGCTATGACCAACCTAGACAGCATATTAAAAAGAGACATTACTTGGCTGCCAAAGGTCTGTATAGTCAAAGCTATGTTTTTCCCAGTAGTCATGTATGGATGTGAGAGTTGGACTATAAAGAAGGCTGAGCACTGAAAAATTGATGCTTTTGAACTGTGGTGTCGGAGAAGACTCTTGAGAGTCCCTTGCACTGCGAAGAGATCCAATCAGTTCATCCTAAAGGAAATCAGTCCTGAATATTCATTCATGCTGAAGCTGAAGGTCCAGTAGTTTGACCACCTGATGCGAAGAGCTGATTCATTGGAAAAGACCGTGATGCTGGGAAAGATTGAAGGCAGGAGGAGAAGGGGATGACAGAGGATGAGATGGTTGGATGGCATCACCGACTCAATGGACATGAGTTTGAGCAAGTTCTGGGAGATGGTGAAGAACAGGGAAACCTGTTGTGTTGCAGTCCCTGGAGTCGCAAAGAGTCGGACACAACTGAGCAACTGATCAACAAGAACAACAAGGTTATGCAGCTTTTAAGTGGCAGGACCAGGATATGAACTAGTACAGTGACCACTGAGCCCACACTTTTACCATTAAGATGAGAATGGCATGCCAAAAGCAGAATTAGATCCCAGAAGATCAGATATAAACATCATTGTCAAATTATGCAAAGGGATCAACTTGGTTGAGATCAGAAAAAGACAATGGGTTGGGTCTTCGGGTAAAGATGGCGGAGCGTGGTTACAGCTTTTCGCTGACTGCATTCAGCCCATCTGGTAAACTCGTCCAGATAGAATATGCTTTGGCTGCTGTAGCTGGAGGAGCTCCTTCAGTGGGAATTAAAGCTGCAAATGGCGTGGCCTTGGCAACTGAGAAGAAACAGAAATCCATTCTGTATGATGAGTGAAGTGTCCACAAAGTGGAACCAATCACCAAGCGTATAGGTTTGGTGTATAGTGGCATGGGCCCAGATTATAGGGTACTTGTGCACAGAGCTCGAAAACTAGCTCAACAGTACTATCTCGTTTACCAAGAACCTATTCCCACAGCTCAACTGGTCCAGAGAGTAGCTTCCGTGCTGCAGGAATATACCCAGTCAGGTGGTGTTCGCCCATTTGGAGTTTCTTTACTTATCTGTGGTTGGAATGAGGGACGGCCATATTTATTTCAGTCAGATCCATCTGGAGCTTACTTTGCCTGGAAAGCCACAGCAATGGGAAAGAACTATGTGAATGGGAAGACTTTCCTTGAGAAAAGATATAATGAAGATCTGGAACTTGAAGATGCCATTCATACAGCCATATTAACCCTAAAGGAAAGCTTTGAAGGGCAGATGACAGAAGATAATATAGAAGTTGGAATCTGCAACGAAGCTGGATTTAGGAGGCTTACCCCAACTGAAGTTAAGGATTATTTGACTGCCATTGCATAATAATGCAAATAATGAAGTGACTGAAAATGCAGAATTGCAGATAACTTCTCTACTTAAACATGTTTAAAGTATGTTTTGTTTTACAGACTTTTTGCATACTTATTTCTACATGGTTTGATGGACTGATGTTTTTAAAATGAGACTTATAAATCATAATAAACTCTTAAATTAAAAAAATTTAAAAAAAAAGAAAAAGACAATGGATTTGCCAATTCAGAATTTATTACTTAAGAAATATGTATCATACCAGTTGCATGTTGGGAGTGGAAACTAAATTGTTGTGGATTAATGTATTAATTGAATTAAACTCTTATCTAGTGACGCTCTTACTCTAGCTAACTACTCTAGTTCCTCCAGTCATCTTAAGTTACTCCAACATTCTTTGCCTTTTCCATCTTAGGAACCTTTGGCTAGGCTAGTCTCCTCTAAAATGTTGGTTCTCTTAACTCTTTCTGTGATTGGCACCGGTTCGTTCAGATCTTGGCTTTATTGTAAATTCCTCTGATACATTTTCCTTGGTAGTTTATAAAAAATAAATTTTATTTTTTTATTGTTGTTTTCAGTCATTAAGTCATGTTTGATTCTTTGCGACCTAATGAACTCCTGCACACCAGGCTTCCCTGTCCTCCACTATCTCCTGAGTTTGCTCAAACTCATGTCTGTTGAGTCTATGATACCATCCAATTATCTTATCCTTGTTGTCCCCTTCTCCTCTTGCCCTCAGTCTTTCCCAGCATCAGGGTCTTTTTCAGTGAGTTGGATCTTCTCTTCAGGTGGCCATAAATAGTATTTGCTTCCTCTGAGGCATATGTCACAATTTGGAATTATGCATTGACTTATCAGTTTATTGTTACTGTCCCCAACTGGTTATGACTCCATGAAGGTAGGATTTGTTCTTCAAGTTTCTACCCCTAGCCTAGTGCCTTGAACACAGTAGTTGCCAAATAAATATTGTTGCTTGTATCAGTGAAGGAACATTTCCTATTTATATACATAATACTGAACTGTTTTGTTTTCTTGAGAATAATCAATCTCTGAGAGATGGATAGGGAGGAAAGCAAAGTCAACACAGCTTAAAAAAAAACTTTAGAGCTACCATTTCTTGAAAGTGTCACATGTTCAGTAAGCATGCATTTTTTTCACATTACACAAATAACGTATTAGGAATATAGGTGCCTGCCTTTATGGTTCTTTGGATGTTGCTAAGGTGTTTTCATTGGTTAGAATCCCAATTTTATTTTCCTTATTGACTCAAGAGGGCTTAAACTAAAATTGAGCAAGAAGGGAAAGTTCTTGATAAAACTGTAAGGGAAAAATGAAAACAACAGTTCATGTCTTCAAGAAGTATAGAGTCAAATGAAAAAGGCTATCAAAGTAATCAATGGCCTATATTATACAGCACAGTAAAAGAGATTGTAAAAGCAAAAGAGGATGAGATGGTTGGATGGCATCACATACTCGATGGACATGAGTCTGAGCAAGCTCCGGGAGTTGGTGATGATCAGGGAGGCCTGGTGTGCTACAGTCCATGGGGTCGCAGAGTGTTGGACGTGACCAAGAGACTGAACTGAACTGAACTGAAAGGAGGTTGTAATAGGGATAAAGGAATCAAAACAACTGTTGAATATAAATGGAGAAGACAACTAGAGCTATCTGCCAATAGAGGTAGTTTGTTCTGAGTGTCTAAAGAGAGGGTAGTAATTTTGTTGGAGACATTTCTTCCTTCGTAGGAAGACTGGACATGGTCTCTCAATTCCTCCCAATTTTAAGATTCTGTGAGATTAAGCTAGGGGAGAAAAACATGCTTGATCTTGAAAGATTGAGAACTTAGGTGAAAAGATGGGGAAAGGACTCAGCCCTCCTTTTTTCCTCTTGAGATGTATATGTTGTGTAGATATAATAGACAGACATAGGGACATTATTTTTTTTGTTTATAAACATTTCTAGTAACAATAATGAAGCTTCTTTGTAAAAAGGCTCAGAAATACTAAAACAATGCTTTTCTTGAAAGATTTTTTAAGTTTATCAAAGAAAGGTTTGATTATATCAAAAAATCTGAAAGGAAGTCTACTGCAATGGCATTAAGGCATAGTAAGCTATAGTTGACCTTTGACATTTGCAAGGTTGTCACTATAGCATATAATTTCCTTCATTTCCTTATGTAACAATAGTATAATTTTCTTCTATTTTTATGTGTTAAATGAGAATCATGAATCCAGTTGAGATATAAGTGTTTGGCAGGGCTTACTAGCTCTGAGAACCTCTTAACATATCAGTTCAAAAACACAATTTGAGCTTTTGGTTCAGCAAAATGGCAAGTCACTATAAGAAAGGGTGCTTTTGAATAGTTCAGTTAGTGTTAAATCCTTAAGTGCTCTTTTCCTTATTCTTTGCCTGACAGTCTTTTTTATTCATCTTTTATATTTTAATATAAATGTCATGTTGCTTAGAAGAGGTCTCAGAACAATAAAATAAAATAGACATTTCTTATTTTTATCCTGCTACACCTTCAACACATTTGCATGTTAAGTCTTTGTTTTGATATATTCTAAGAAAATCATTTAAATATGGAAATATTAAGAAAAATCATTATGCTTTGTAATATGTAATAGTTATACAGTTAGATATAACTATATAATACCACAATCTGAAATAATTTTACATAAATATTTATTTTTTTACAGATATGTTTTCTGAAATTCTGAATCATGAGTCTCGCACTTAATGATCTGCTTATTTGCTGCCGTCAACTAGAACTTGATAGAGCTACAGAGCGAAAGGTAGTAAGTTACTTAAATTTAATCTTTCCTTGAAACAAATGTGTGATTGGTAACTCATTATTTTGTTCTTTTTTATTTTCAGAGAGAGATTGAGAAATTTAGGCGCCTGATTCAGGATCCTGAAACTGTTCGACATTTAGATCAGCATTCAGATTCCAAACAAGGGAAATATTTGAATTGGGATGCTGTTTTTAGGTATTCGATTCTAATTCTTTTTTCTGTCTTTATTTTTCTCTTTCATTTTTATTTCTGTTGTGATATTTTTGTGTGTGTATAGGTCAGCTTATCTTTGCTCCCTGTATATCATTGTGCCTTGCATAGGAAATTGATGCTCAGTATTTATCTGAAACATAATTTTTAAAGGCCATTCATATAAAAAAGTTAAGATTTTTGAATTATATGTTCAATAAAATGTCTTTGACATATCTCACTCAAGATGACAGAATTTCTTTCATATTACTTCATTCATAAGACTTTATTTCAAATTAGAGAGTAAAATTAAGTTATATTAAGTCCTTTATAACTTTAGCATCTTTAAATATTGCTCTAAGTAACTGCCATATATAAATATAATAAAAAATAAAAAGGAATTTTAGAAAAATTCCATATGAATGCAGGTAACAAAACTCATGCTTTGGAAAGATACAATTCATTACTTGACTGGAGTGGCAAACAGAGTTGATGCTTTTATATAAAAGACATAATTTTCAATTATGAAATCCATTCATAACTACAAATAGGTGGTAAGACTTAGGAAAGATAAAGTATTTTAAAGTAACATAGAATACTGATAAACTTGAAAGAACATTTTCAGTCTAGGGAAATAGGAGTATATATTCATTCTTGAGTGTTTAGAATAGATAATCTATTTTATTTTTTAGGTCTTATTTGGCACTAGACAGACCATTGTCCTCAATGGCCTTCATTGTGGATAACATGAAAAATACATACTTCTTTTCCTGTGGTTCCTTACTTTATTTCAGATACCACAAATAATTTTTGTTGGTTTAGTCACTTATTCCTGTCTCTTTTGTGACCCCATGGACCCTAGCCCACCAGGCTCCTCTGTCCATGGGATTTCCCAGGCAGGAATACTGGAGTGGGTTGCCATTTCCTCTGCAGGGAATCTTCTTGACCCAGGTTTTGAATCCACATCTCCTGCATTGGCAGGCAGATTCTTTTCCACTGAGTCCCCAGAAAAGCCTAACAAATATAACAAATATAGTTATTATCTAAAGATGAATATTTTGCATAAGATGATCATGTAGGCCATCTGAGTACCTAACACTCCTGGCTAATCATGAATATCTTATAGGCAGACTTCATTTAAATTAAGGCTAGAAACCTTACCAACGCTTTAGGAAGGAGGTTCCTGTTTTGCTGAAAGTTTTACTTTTGTCTTAGGTTCAAAGGATTTGTTAACAAAAGAAATCACTTGTTACAAATAAATAAGTTCAACTTTTAATAGATGATTATTTAACTTAATTTTAGTTCAGTTCAGTCACTCAGTTGTGTCCGACTCTTTACAACCCCATGAACTGCAGCACACCAGGCCTCCCTGCCAGGGTCCAGCCTCGGCAGGATCCAGGGGATACCCTCAGGATGAACGGCGTCGGCGAGAGAGAGAAGGGGAGAGAGAGAGAGAGAGGACACGTGAGACCAGCCTTGATAGGGCCAAGTCTGTGTTTTACTTTTTGACAACAGGTTTTATACCCTTTCTCAGAACGTTTTCAAGGTACAAGATGCTTACTCATGATTACACAGGATTAGTATTACATCATTTTGTTTTTTAGGAAAAGCAGGATTTTGTTGCTTTCTAATTCTATAGTAATTCTTAGCACATGATCTTCTGGCCTTGAGGCTACTAACATTTTATGCAGGTCAGGTGAATGTAAACCTATTTTCCGTTTTTATGGTGACCTTAACTAAAAGGTAGCAGTCTCATAGGGCAGTAGTACAGAGTAGAATTATATTTTTGTTAATACAAAAATTAACCCTTCTGCAAAAGTTATCAGTTGTGTTTATCTAAGAAGTTTACCCCATACTGACTCTGTGACTTTGGTGAGGTAGCTTCTGCCTAGCACTCCTGGCTGACAATTAACAACCATCTCATTGTTACCACACTAGGGCTAAGTTCTTATTTCTCTAGAACACAGCCTTAGCACATTAAAATTCAAAAACACAGCAAGCAAAACACAGCAACCAATCTCAACCCAATAA